GATGGTAGGCGCCCCTAGCCTCCTCCTTCCTCCCCTCCACTGGGTGATAGGCGGCGGTCATGGCCCGTTGCCCCGTTACCCCTCGAGCTGTAAATACCCCTCGCGCTGTGCCAAATCGCTCTGCAGACTTCCCTCTTCAAACCCCCCAGTCCCGTTCAAAACATAACAGCCGATGAGAAAATCCATTAAAGAGAAGTCTCCAATGTCCGCAAACCCCCCCTTGGTTCATCCTTTGCACCACAGTCCAGCGCGATGCGAAGCGCAGCCTCAAACCTTGAAAGCTTTGCGCGGCGCCCATCCCACCAACAGGCGCGATATCTTGGCTCGAAGCTGTTCGAAATAACTGGCCAGAAACCTTCAGCCGACGAAGAAAGCTCACCCTGGCAACCTCACCAGCAGACACCTCAGCCTAGCCCGGCACCTTAGCCCAGCCCGGCATTCCACCTTGCCTCAGCGCAGCATCAAAGTCCCGACTAGAAGCCTCCAGCCGACATGTGACACCCAACCCGGCAACTCACCACCACCAGCACATCCCAGATTTGCTCGGCACTGGTCAAGTCATCGGCAATGCCAAGATCGGACAGCCGCAAGTCTCACAACAGGTTGTGAAGCGATGGAACAGGGAAAGACAAAAAATACCTGGTTTAAATACAGTACAAAAAGAAAAAGAAGAAAGAAAAGAGAAAGGAAAAAAAAGAAAGAAAAGATGGAAGAAAATAATCCAAAAAAAATACAAGTCCATCACCCGGCCCAAGTCATCACAACGTCATCATCATCATCATCATCATCATTCTTCCTCCTCCTCCTCGTCCTCGTCCTCGTCCTCGTCCTCCAACAGCCTCACGACAATGCAGTCCGCCGTGGCCCCCTCCGGGTCGACGGTTCCAGGCCGCGAGGGCAGGGCGCCAAGTTGCGGCGGCGGGCTCGGCGACGGGGGAGCTGACGACAGCGGGGAGCCGCTCGAAGCAGGAGACGCGGCCAGCAAAGGTGACACGGCTGGCGCCGCTGGTTCCGGCGTGGTAGGTGTGTGTCGGTGGGTTGGTTCTTGCCCGTGGTTCTGCCCATGGGCGAGCGGGACAGACGTGGTTCGGCAAGCGAACCCTTCCCTGGCCTTGAGCGTCCGGATGATGCGCCTCTTTGGCCGGGGCGATCGCTGCGAGAGCTGCTGTGCTGATACCGCTCTCTTCCGGCTTGGCGGTGGCGGCGCCGCGAACGGGGCTCCTCTGGTGACATCTGAGGCCGCTCTGGTGGTTTCCGGCCTTAGTTCCATCGACGGGAGATGCACCTCGGTCGTTGGAACTATCTCATCAACGGCGACGCGCGGCATTTCCGGGAGGTCGTGCTGCTTTTCGATGATGGGGACCTCGTAGCGCTTCTCGACTGTTTCGAGCTCCCGGTACTTCTCGGCTACTGTGGGCTCGTCGACTGCCGTGGGCTCAGGCTTCTCAACGGCTGGGGCCTCATGATGGTTCTGGACTGCCGAAAGCTTGTGGTGTTTCTCGGTCACCAAAGACTTGCCGACTCCTAGGATCTGCCGCTTCACAATTTCTGGTGCCTTAAAACGGACCTCAATTGACGGGAGCTCGCGGCGCTTCTCGACGTCGTCAGGGACATCCTCTTGCGTCATGCCAGGGGTGCTTACGTTGGCGACATTACCGGCGCTGTCAACAGCTCCGAAAATAGGCTCAGCGGCGACGGATTTCTCGTAACAATATCCAACAAGCACTGTGGTCTCAACTACAACCATGGGATCCTCCTTGACTGAGGGTGGCGCCTCTTCGACGATGGGAGCATCAATGTCCACGGGGTCGGCCTGTGCGCTCGGACCATCCGGCTGGGCGGTTGGCTTCGGAGCTGGGCTCCCCTTGTAGAGGTCATCGGAATCGAAAAACTCGCAAATTTCGTCGACTTCGGATGAGTATGGTGTGAACCGGCGCGGGAATCCCCAGGGGAAGAGGCGGTAACGCGCGCTTTGAGATTGCGGCGGCGAAGTAGGCGCTGTGGACAGATTAGCCTCGATATTGCGGCGTCACCAACCACGGAAACCTGCTGTTGTGCCCCGTGCGTTGGTCCTGTCCGCCCTGGCCAGAGACACGTCCGTCTTCATTCAAGTCCACCATTTTGCTCGCTGCGAGCAACTAACTGACGCTGAGCACGTGTCGGCGGTGTTGATCTTGAAAATTGATGGAGCGGGGACTCAGTGGCAGGTGCAGGGATGGTAGGATAGAGTTTGACGTGCAACAAATGCTGCATGTGGGTCCAGACACAAGGCTACGACGGTGCCCCCGACGCACTTTCCATTTCTTGTTGGGAAATTACGGGGGCCTCAGCCAGTCGAAAGCTGGGGACAAGTACTCGGTCAGGTGGATGGTGATTTGGAGCAGGTTTTGCGAGAATAGAGAGGGAAAATCTGCATGGGCAAGGGGAGCGAGCTTTTTTTTTTTTTTTTACGTTCTATGCACGGCTAGCCCACAAGGATCTGCAGGATCTCGGGAGGGGCGCCTCTTGCCAATGGAACATCTTCAGAATGGAAACAGAAGACACCCGACTTGTTGTATTGCAAAAGAAGTGATCAGTGCATCGCTTTTCAGCCCCTTTATGCACTGTGAGCATGGCTTGTTATGCTCATCCTGTGACGTGGTGGTTTTCCTGTATGAAGTCGCTTGGTGCAGGCGGTTTGGCACTTTGCTGTCACGCACACGCACTTCCCCACCGCGATACACGCAATTGTCACCCTGCTCTAAGTGCAATCAACCTCTTTGTGCTTCCAAGAAATACTAGGATATCATCAGGAAGCACGTTGAAAGCAGCAGAAAAGCGGCATCACCAAACATAACCTGGGAACCAAAAACGCCGCGTCGGGCATGCGCCTTGCCAGCCGCAAGGTGGTCCACACTCGTGCATCACCCAATCAGTCCCCAATCAATTCCAATTGGCACAGTATTCTTCCATCGACATGAACGGTGCAAACAATGACTCAAAGAATGTACAACTGAGCTGTGGCGAGTGCCGGTGAAGACGTGGCTATCATGCGGCTGTGGCGCCAGAGTAGGGCTTGGCCCGGCCAAACCCGGGATCCATATCGGCCCCACTTTGCAGCCCCAGCGCGGCCCCATTTTCGTGGCGCACTTCCTCAACAGGTGACCCTTCTCTCTCTGCTCGCAGAAACCGTGATTGAATATTCTGCCAGTTGCCTTGCAATGTCTGCAGTGCTGACCCCTCAAAGTGACCAGGCTGGCGTTGAAATAAAAGCTCGCTGCCTCCTGTGGGACAGCCGCTTGTGGTCATCTGCCTGCTCGGCGATGATGCGAAGGTTGGTGATCCTTGCTAGGGGAGACTGACGCGGCCAGGCTGGCGCGCCGGCTCGCAAGAGGTGCCACCATCCGTCTATATCGTCATCGAGGATGGGCTTTCCGTGGATCGTCAGGGTCGTGAGCTGGCAGTCTTCGGCGGGAAAGCAGCGGGGGAACCAGGAGATTGGCCCAGAGAGCGGGTCAAAGTCTATCAGTTCGAGGTGACGGAGCTTAGAGAAGCTCTACAGGCTTCCGACAGCCTGGGTTTGGAGGTTGAAGACAATGTCTTGGTTGGACTGGTATTCCGAATTATAGGTGTAATAGATCTGGGGCTGGTTAAGAAAGTCATCTCCGTTGGTGCGCCAGTGATGCCTGGTGATGTCGTAGAGGTGTTTCCAACGGGAACCCCCGTGATGTCTGGGAGGCATTAATATCAGTTCCTCCATATATCGACCAGAGTTCTCTAGCCACGAATTGGCTGTCCCGCTGCGGTAGACGTTGAACTGGGCACTGTGGGGGGAGTGAACCAAGTTGAGATCCCAACTGATATTCGCCGTGTCTCTTGGCAGGCGATAGGCCATGTATTCGAAATTGAGCATCAGCCCAAACAAAGCCCATGGCAGATAGCTAGCTGCTATGGCTGGGCGGTGCAGCCCAATACCCTGCGAAAAAATTATTGCAGTGAAGTGCCGTTTTCAGCTTTTCGACCAGCTTCAGAGCGCTCAAAAGATCAAGGTTGCACAGCAGCCTGGGACCTGAGATAAAACTGTCACCATTGGCTCACCGCAGCGAAAAGGGAAACAACTTACAGGCATAAGCCGTCTTGATGAGTGAAGCCAGGTGTGGGCGCCTAATGATAGTACCGATGAAGGCTTTCAACCGCCCGATGTCTATTGGATCGACCATATCATCATAGGGTTCTCCAAAAACGCATTCTTCATAGAGCAGCGGCCGCACAAGATTTCGCAGCATCTTGCGCACGAGGCAGAGTTGAGACAGGCTTCCCAACGCTTCGCGGCGCCTCCGTGTCATTGAGACTGTGCAACTTGCACCGGGATGGGTTCGGAATGCTGGCACATAACATGCTTCGGCAATCATTAGAATGACTTCCGTTGGCAGCCTGTCCCACAGGGCCGGGTTCATGTCTCTTTTGTTTGGAGATGGACCACAAGCGGGGACTGTGTCAACCATCGTGGTGGGGGTAAAGGTATCCAAGTGGGAGAAGGTGCCGGCTTGTGTGATTCGATCTGGGACGGAAAATATCATGGAAAGAAGAAAATCACCAAGACATTCCGGAGGTTAAATGCAGCATCAATCCAAAAAGCTTGGTAGGTAGGCTTCGACCCAATGTTGGCAGCATGGTTTTGCGACAAAAACCACATTTGTTAGTGATAGGGCGCTAACACTCACCATCGCTTTTAACGAGACGTTGTGTTAAGGTAGGATCCCAACCAGCTTCGATCAGCGCCCCTTGTGTCTAGGTTCCCAATCGCCACAGCCTCAATTCCTCAAACCTCACCTGTCGGCATGGGACAGTGCAGAATACTAATGAACCTCTAGCGCGCTGCTCACTCTTTTCCATGCGACACCTAAAGGGGACATGAAGCCACAGGCCGATTCAGGGGCACGTACCGGGCACTCCCTCCGCCCCAAGGCCTCCGCCCGGGACAGAGTTCTCAGTAGGAATTCCCACGACATCTGTCACTCGCCTTCTTAGCTCAGTGGTAGAGCGCGTCACTCGTACTTCACTCTCATTCCAGAGAATCTACAATGACGATGTCGCTTGTTCGATCCAGGTAGGAGGCAGTTGTTACTTTTTGCTCGCTTGGCCATTAAATCCCCATCCTCGATGAACGGTGTGGACGCGGAAATCCCCGGCCTATTCTGGCTTGTGAGTGGCACGATTGGGGGCTTCGGTGAGGGAGGTGCGGGGATCGGCCCGTAGGTCGTTGATGGCTGCCCCGCACCCCGCATTTTGGCGCTTGCCCTGTGGTGGGAAAATCTTCCCATGGCCAGACCGACGGGTCGTAGTAAGGACTCACCCCTTTCTCACTCCAAACATTTTGGACTCCGCAATGCCTGACGCCGGAGGACTTTATCGCTGCCCGGTCTGCTTCAAAGGATACAAGAGACGGGAGCATCTGCAACGCCATCGCAGCACACACACCTCCGAGCGCCCGCACCGCTGCATTGTGTGCAACGCCTCATTCCAGCGGACGGACGTGCTCAAGCGCCACCTGCAAACCTGCGACGGCACCTCAACCATTTCTTCCACTCGCCGCCGCGCCTGCGATCGCTGCGTGCGCCAAAAGAAGGCCTGCAACTCCCTCCAACCTTGTCAGAACTGCGAGAAGCGCGCCGTGCGGTGCGAGTACTTCATCGCGTCGTCCGTAGCAGCAGCATCCTCATCATCGTCGTCATCGGCACAGCCATGGGACCCACTAGGGAAACTGCGGGCCGCAGATTTCAATGGTGGGCTGACCCCTCACTTCGATTATCGGGACGTTGAACTCGGCAGCATTGCATCTTCAACCCCCGAATCTCACCACCAGTTCCCCCTTGTCAACAACCCGACCGCTGAAGACGTCTGGTTCGATATCGAATACAATCATGATCCAGCTCTGGCTCAAGTATCATCATCGGAAGACACGGATCTGCTGCCGGTCCCGGAATATCGAGGTTATTCGTTCGAGTTCCTGTACGACTTTACGAGCCGGACAGGGCTCGTCTCGTCGTTCGAATGTGCAACCCTGGAGCGGCGACAACAGATCGTGGCAGCTTTTGATCATGCATATATCAGCAATTTGGAACACTTCATACCCACACCGCTGCAGTACGACCCCGCTGCAGACGACCATTCAATGTCTGGACAGTATGGTGATCACGGCGACGTCGTGCAGCCGGTTATACCTGGGACATCGTGGCTCAGCAGCCCAATCGTGGCCAAACTGCAGGATATTGTCCTTCAGATCAAGCGAGTCGTGACTTTCCGGCCAAACAATAGCGTTGTTGACCTGACCTGGACGCCGGCACTAGAGCAAAAGTGCATTGAATTCTTTTCTCCCTACAAGTTCGCCAAGTTCATGGAGCTGTACTGGTCGGTCTGGCATCCAAATGTCAGCATCATTCACAGGCCGACCTTTGATCAATCCTCATCCAAATCAGCACTTCTCGCCGCAATGGCCTTGCTCGGTGAGTGGACGCAAAGACCCAAGCCGGCCACAATGCTGACATCTGCAGGCGCTTGTGTCTCACCGGATTCTCAGGATAACTTGGACGCGAGGTTATGGTTCAACTGCGTGGAGGAAATGGTATTTACCGATGCCGACTTTCGCAGCGACACGGAGTCAGCGGACGAGACAGACCTTTCGAGCACAATGCTACCGATCTCACCAAAGCTTCAAGCTCTGCAAGCCGCGTATGTTATCTGTCTCTACCAGAACTGGGAGGGAGCAGATGCCAGCAAGCGGCGGATCCGGCGCCATCGATTCAGCACGGTGGTCTCAGTGAGTTACCACGAGCGCTTCGCGTGAGACTCGCTCACGGACTGACCTGAACAGGTTGCGAGAGACATGGGCATCGGAAACGCTCGCCATCTCGACTACAATAGGGAGATCGAGTTCCACTGGGACGAGTACGTGATCAGAGAGGAGCTCATCAGGTAAGACCTCCCCCTAGCCCTGTATCTACCACTCCCTGACTCCGAACGTAGGACCTTCATCTGGATATTCCTGTTAGATACTGCGTTTGTAATATTCAACAACTTACCTCATAGGATGGTGATCAAGGAGATGAGAATGCACATGGCGAGCCCAGAGGCATGCTTCCAAGCCGTCTCGGCCCAGGAATGCTTCCAGGAAATCCATGCCCTGATGCCACCTTCGAGTCCCTTTTGCAGCATTCACCTCCGCGATGCCATTGAAGGCTTTTGCGCTGAAACACTTTCTGCCGAGACTCAGCAAAGATTTTCTCAACTGGGGGCCCTGAACCTCTTCACGATTGTCTCAGGTGAGCAACGCGCCCAGCAGGCCAGGCACTCGAGCTGACTCTGCGCAGCATTCCATTACATGATATTCCAACACCAGAACTCGCTGGGCGTCGCTGGGCAGCTGGTGCCGATTCGTAGTGGCCTGCGAAATTGGATAGCGGTGTGGGAGCAATACTTCGACTCGTGGTCCGCGTCGTACCCGCAAGACGCATCCCTTCCTCTCGAGACCATGTGGAAGAGGATGGGGTTCATCCGTTTCGCCCCCGAGTACTGGCTCCTTGGAGTCCTTTTGACAAACCGAATCTCGGGGGCGACAAACCAATCTCAGGACAAAGCTCACGACGTGGATGATGCTAGCCGATCGTCCTTGCCGGTTCCTGTTGCCGCGGGGAGCAGCGCGCAGATCAATTCCGTTGACCCTATCCTTGAGAAGTACGATCAGACGAGCATGCGCCAAGTCAACGATCTTATTGCCGATTTCCGGAAATTCCACGTCGAATGAGGGAGGCCAAGCGCGGTAAACCCAGCCGCATTACGGTTAGGGGTCGGCTCAAACGAGCCTCCGGGGCGGGGCCGCGGTTGTCCCCGGTTTTCGGCAATGCGACGTTCGGGGCCGGCAAGGAAAACCTGCGCAAAAAAGGGCACGAAATCAGGCACAGAAGTCATACCCACCACAATCTTCTGGGAATCCTCGGCCGCTGAGAAATTTGAGTCGTCTGGTTTGCCAATACCCCCCACAATCCTCCGTGGTCGAGCTCCGCTTCCCACATCGACTCCGTGCCAAGCGCTCCCCGCGACCCAACATCTCGCCCCGCGTCCGGTTGCGCGTCGGGCCCCATCCCACATCGGCCCCGATCCGGGCACGTCTCTGCCACTGTTTGCCAAGGGTGTCGCCAGGGCAGGGGGCTCGCTCCCAGACAGCGTCGATACTTTTTTCCTACTTTATTCCCGCCGCCCTTCGCCTTTGCCGTCTCCAACACACCATCATCACCCAGCCATCGGCCCATTCCCGCCTCAGCGCCCCTGCAAGCCCTTCGGTCCTTCTCTGTCGTTGCAGTCGGCACCCGGCACCCGAATGGCGGTCCTTCTCACTTACCTGCCCGTTGTGGTGGCTGTTGCGGTCATCATCCGGCTCCTGATGACGGGCCGGAGACCCAAGAGTTTTCCGCCAGGCCCGCCGACCCTACCGATCATAGGTAACCTCCACCAGGTTCGGGCAACACTTCTTTGCACCTACATATATGACTTGCGAGCATGGCTGACACTCTGTGCAGATGCCAACTCGAGATGCCCATCTCCAATTCGAGAAATGGGCTCGCGAGTATGGCCCCGTCTACAGTCTCATCCTTGGTACCAAGACCTTGGTAGTCTTGTCCAGCGACCAGGCCGTCAAGGACCTCCTCGACAAGAAGAGCAACATGTACTCGCACCGACCTGAGATGTACGTCGGCCAGAGTCTTTGCTCGGGAGACCTGCGCATTCTCATGATGGGTTACACGCCGAGATGGCGCACCAGCCGCAAGCTTGTGCACACTCTGCTTAACATATCGGCCGCCAAGTCCTACGTCCCCTATCAGATTCTTGAGAACAAGCAGATGCTGTACGAGATGCTCACCAAGCCGGATGAGTTCCTGCACAACATCCGCCGCTACTCCAACGCGCTCACCACCACCATGGTTTTCGGCTGGCGCACCCCTACTTATGAGGATGAGAAGATGAAGCAGCTCTTCGATGGTTTCAGCGAGTTTGCCGACCTCAACCAGACCGGCATCGCTGGCCTCGTCGACTTCTTTCCCTGGATGCGCAACCTCCCTGATTGGATGATGCCCGTTCAGAAGAAGGCCCGCCAGATGCACAAGAAGGAGAAGGCCCTTTATCTCAGCCACTGGCTCAAGGCTAAGGCGGACACCGCCGCTGGAACTGTTACCCGCTGCTTCAGCGAGGAGCTCGTTGAGGCTCAGAAGTCCGAGGGCTTCAGCGATGATCAGGCCGCCTACATCTCTGGTACCCTCCTCGAGGCTGGCTCCGACACCACCTCCAGCACTCTCTACGCTTTCGTCCAGGCTATGCTTCTCTACCCCGAGGTTCAGCGAAAGGCTCAAGAGGAGGTCGACCGCGCCGTCGGCAAGGATCGCCTCCCCACCATGGAGGATGAGCCCAACCTTCAGTACGTTCGCTCCATCGTCAAGGAATCTCTCCGCTGGATGCCCACCACCATCATGGGTGCTGTCCCCCACGCTGTCACCCAGGACGACTACTACAATGGCTATCTCATCCCCAAGGGCGCCGGTGTTGTCAACAACGTCTGGTCGATCCACATGGACCCCAAGCGCCGCCCCGACCCCCGCCGCTTTGAGCCTGATCGCTACAAGGATGACTTCCAGTCCCTTGGTGACGCCGCTGCCAACCCTGATGCCTCCAAGCGCGACCAGTTCACCTTTGGCGCCGGCCGTCGTATCTGCCCTGGCATCCACGTTGCGGAGCGCAGCTTGTTCCTCGGTGTTTCTCGCATGATCTGGGGCTTCGACGTCAAGCCTGCCAAGGACGCTAACTGAAAGGACATCATCCCTGACCAGGAGAAGCTGACGCAGGGATTCGTCTGCATGCCGGAGGAGTTCCCCGCTTCCATCACGCCAAGAGATGAGAACAAGGCTAAGATTATCCGGGATGAGTGGTTTGCTGCTGAGGCGGAGTGCCTCGACCCTGAGACCAAGCAGTGGAGGCAGTCTCCGCTGGGTGTCTCCTTGGGAAGGACTAGGGGCAAGGCTTAAAAAAAAAAGGGACAGATGGGCTGAGCGGTGTTCTATTGGTATGTCGT